ATATATATATATATATATATATATATATCTATATATATATATATATATATATATATATATATATATATATATATATATATATATATATATATATATATATATATATATATATATATATATATATATATATATATATATATATATATATATATATATATATATATATATATATATATATATATATATATATATATATATATATATATATATATATATATATATATATATATATATATATATATATATATATATATATATATATATATATATATATATATATATATATATATATATATATATATATATATATATATATATATATATATATATATATATATATATATATATATATATATATATATATATATATATATATATATATATATATATATATATATATATATATATATATATATATATATATATATATATATATATATATATATATATATATATATATATATATATATATATATATATATATATATATATATATATATATATATATATATATATATATATATATATATATATATATATATATATATATATATATATATATATATATATATATATATATATATATATATATATATATATATATATATATTAAATGTTAGCATTTATTACATGTAAAAAAATTGTTAGATATTTATAAAAAATGTAAATAACTGTTTTCTTATTGTAGTTTCAAATAAAAATTATTACTACATTCATTATTGCTTTTATTACTATTATCATTAATAATAATAATAATAGTATTAATAGTAATAATTGTTGTTATTATTATTATTATTAATAATAATAATTATTATTATTATATTTATTATTAATATTATATTTATTAGTGATTTCTGAAGGATCATGTGATTCTGAAATGAAGCGGAAAATCTTTAAAATCATTTATTCATTCATTTATTCATTTTCGTTTTGGCGTAGTCCCTTTATTAGTCCGGGGTCACCACAGTGGAATGAACCGCCAACTTATCCAGCAGGTTTTGACGCAGCAGATGCCCTTCCAGCTGCAACCCATCTCTGGGAAAATCTTTAAAATCACTGGACTACATTATTTAATTAAATTATAGACTTTTGTCATTTAATAACATGTGACAATTCTACAGTTTGTTCTGTATTTATGATGAAATAAATGCAACTTTTGTGAGCAGGAGAAGCTTATTATTATTATTTAAAATTATTTATTATTATTAACATTTAAAAATCATACTGACCACAAACTTTTGACCAGTAGTGTGTGCGTGTGCGTGCGTGTGCGTGTGTATGTGTGTGTGTAATAAATGCATGTTACTGGGTAACTTAATGGTATTTTTTTAAATATTGGATAGATAGAGGTGCATAAATAATATTTGATTGAGTGTGGATAAATAATAACTGTAGTTCATTACCTAAGCTTATTTGTATTTTCATGATAAACATTAGTGTTGTTGTTATCTAGAGTGTTTTACTCAACTGCTAGTAGCTGTAAGTGTTCCAGTGTGGTGTTGCTGAGGAGCTGCAGAGCTGCATGTGGAGTTTGTTTGAGCTCCGCCTCTAAACCTTTAACCCCCACAGAAACTATCTGAACTATTTCAACACACACACACACACACACAGAGCGAGCGAGGGGAGGGGGGAGACTGTGAATGTGTGTTGTGTGTGTGTGTGTGATCTGATTTCAGTGGATCATGGAGCTGCGCGGTGACCGCGGCGTGTCGGAGTCTCCTGGCCGCACAGACGCGCTTCTCGCTCGGTTACTTCTGCTCCGGAACGCCGCTGAACGGAACTAACGCTGGAGGATCGGACCGGTACCGATGGCTGATCCTCTGCGGAGGACAATTCTAGCCAAACTCAGGGGCAAGAAACCCAAAGGGAAAGACGCGAGCCGGGAGAGAGAAGGTAAAGCAAAAGTTTCTCAAACGCAGACAGAGAGGGGTTATATTTCAGATGAGATGCGGGGTGAACCGAGCTGTGTGACCGGGATCCGGGCGCCGGGTCTCGGCTATAGCGCGGTTGCGGCGGCGGTGCGAGTACACCGGAGCGGGGGCTCAGAGTCCGGGGGTCCCGCTGGCGAGGCGGTGGATCGGAGCGAACAAACCGAGCCGAAGCGCTTCCACACTGTCGGAGACTCGATCGGCTTCGGAAACTGCGATTTAAACCCCAAAACAGAGGCTTTAAAGCGAGCAGATGGTCAAGATATCGAGGATAAAGACGCGAATGTTACAGCTCTCGAGCAAAAGGCCGGGAAAAACATCACCGAGCGGAGCCCAAAACTCAACTCCGTGTTTGATTATATTGACGGAAGCGATTTAATTCGAGTTCTAGAGGAGTATCGCGGAGCTTTCAGCATGCCAGCGTTACAAAGTCCAACTTTTTTCCCCACTGATCTGGAACTAACAGCGGCCCCCGGGCGGAGGGAAGGGGCCCCTCGGCACCACTCGGTGGACAGCGAGGACGACGATTATTATGATAACCAGATTCTGCCCTTTTATGAGTCCTGCACGCAAAACAACTGCGATGACAGACAGACAAACACTACTGAACTAACAGAGTCCACGCAGGAGACAGACCGGCTGAAGTCGCAGCTCAAAGAGGCCTATTATCTGCTGATAAACACCATGCACAACATCAGCCTGGATGGTCAAGTGGAAGATAACGGATTTGTGGATCAGGCGAGCAGCTCGAGTCGCTCTCACGATAGCGTTAGCACACAATCCACCGATAAAAGTGATGTGTGTCTGTCTGAAGAGCGCAGCGGTCAGCAGCCGTTCGGCTCGGACTCCGCGTTCTTTACGTTGGTTGCTCAGTCGTGTAGCGTGGGGTCTTCGCAGAGTAGAAGTTTGCAGAATATTCTCAAAGCGAACACCAAACCGACGCTGCAGCGCTCAGTCAGCGATAGCAGAGTCAAATATTCCTCGACTGCAAACACTTACGAGGAAGCTTCGCTTTCCAGTGTGCGAATGGTTCGCAATGATAGCGCAAACTCTAGCGAAGATCGTAAGCACCAGTCGGTCAGCGATGCGATGGTGCCGAAACAGCCCGGCGTCACTGTCAACAAGATGCAGGAGTGGATGCAGAAGGGCCGCGTCCTGTCCTCAGAGATGAAGCAGAGGATCATGGGATCCTCAGCGAGAGCCAATCACAGCGGCCGGATGCGGATCGGAGCAGGTATGGATGATGCGGACCAGCCTGAAAATCACTGGCGGATACTCTGGGACGTCTGGGTGCCTTTAACTGGTGGCGGGATTTTACTCTGCTTTCTAACAGTGGCGGTTCTGGTGGCGACAAGCTCGGCCAAATTCGTAATAACGCAATAATTGAATATTTATATAAAAAGTTTGTTCTCCTCTAGACTGAACAACAAGCGGTCAGTGATGTGTTCCAGCACATGCAAATCAGTTGTGGAAAAACACGTCTGTTGTAAATGGGGAAAGTAAGGGCTAATGTAGATCCAGCCGGCGGCTCTTCAGAATGCAGCACTGCAGGATCATCAGCAGCTCCTGTGGAAGACTGAAGGGTTTATTCTGAATAAGCACCGGCGGGATCTACATTATCCTGATTATTACATAGAGACTGGACACTAAACCACACTATCAGACACTAAACACTCATCTGAGCTCTTTAATGAAACGCAAAGCTTGCAGAGAGAAAAATGGCTGAATGGAGATACACTAACCTACTTATTATTATTATTATTATTATTATTATTATTATTATTATTTTCACTAATGTTTAGTAATATTGTAGTACCTATATAAGTCTGTGTTTAATCCAACGCAATCTCACGGCAATTCGTAACTTTTTGATTTAGTGGCTAATTCGTATGAATGGGTACAATCTAATTCGTAATATTTAGTAGATATTATAAGTAAAATTTACAAGATAATTAGACGTAAATAAAGCGAGCGATTGGTCCATATTTTTACATTTCTGTCCAGAGAGGTCATGTTTTGATCCTTGATCGGTCTCACGCAGTCAAGTGATGCGATTTCGCAGGTCAGACTTTACTAAGCTTGAACTCTGCAACTCAGCGATGTGCGAAACTTCTGGTCTGTCATATTCGCGTACACATGAATGGAAGTCTATGTGGAGAAAAGTCCAGTGTGACCACAGATTAATCTGGTCTATCTGATGACGGGCAATAATGCACAGCTGAAGTGTTGATGTGAAGCGAAGTGTTTGTTGCTCCTCAGGTGTGCATTATTGGCTCATGCTTCAACAGAGCAGTGAGTATTGTTCTGCTCATACAGTGCTCAGCATATATCAGTACACCCCTCACAAATCTCTCATTTAAACTCAGATTTTACCATAGTAAACTCTACAGCAAGGGTCACCAAACTTGTTCCTGGTGGTCCGGTGTCCTACAGATTTTAGCTCCAACCCTAATCAAAAACACCTGAACAAGCTAATCAAGGTCTTACTATGTATAGTTGAAACAATCAGGAAGGTGTGTTCAGGCAAGTTGGAGCTAAACCCTGCAGGGACACCGACCCTCCAGGAACAAGATTGGTGACCCCTGCTCTACAGTATATTTGAGCACATGCATTCGTTTAGTCAGAACTCAAGACAAATCTGGAGCTCATCTAACAAAATAACTTACACTAATGGTTTAAAACTAGTAAAGCCACATTTATATGTTAGAAAAATGGCAACAAAATAGCAGAAATGAAAAGAAACTAAATATAAACATATTTATTTGACATGTTGTAGTTTGTCATTTTTTGCAATATTTTGCCTGCATTTTAATGCTTTATTTTTCTATTTCTAAAGATGTTCTGTGACTGAAACATTATTTTAATAAATATTTTTGTTTAGTTAATCTATTTTGTTGAAACGCACCAATATACAGTTGAAGTCAGAATTATTCACCCCCTGTTTATTTTTCCACAATTTCTGTTTATCAGAGAGCAGATTACTCCAACACATTTCTAATCATAACAGTGTTAATAACTCATCTCTAATCACTGATTTATTTCCTCTTTGTCATGATGACAGTAAATAATATTAGACTAGATATTCTTCAAGACACTTCTATACAGCTTAAAGTGACATGTAAAGGCTTACCTAGGGTAATTAGGGTAACTAGGCAGGTTAGGGTAATTAGGCAAGTTATTGTATAACAGTGGTTTGTTCTGGAGACTATCAGAAAAAAAATAGCTTAAAGGGGCTAATAATATTTAATCCTTAAAATGGTGTTTAAAAAATTAGAAACTGCTTTTATTCTAGCCCAAATAAAACAAATCAGACTTTCTCCAGAAGAACAAATATTATCAGACATACTGAGAACATTTCCATCTGTTCAACATCACTTGAGAAATATTTAAAGAAGAAACAAAATCAAATCGGGTGATTAATTCAGCTGTATAGTACCCATAATCACTGAGAGATGGAGAAAAATATTCATTTTCTAAAAAGGGTGAACTCATATATGCTGAGCACTGTACCACTGTTCCCGGTCTGGTTATTGGTCTCGTTTACTCTCTAATGATGACTTTTGCTGCTTGTTCAAGCTACTTATTGAAATGAGATGGTACAACTAATTTGTTTTATCTTCAATCCACTTAAATTTGTTAAAACTATTAAGTTAACTGGGGCGACGCAGTGGTGCAGTAGGTAGTGCTGTCGCCTCACAGAAAGAAAGTCGCTGGTTCAAACCTCGGCTCATTTGATGTTTCTGTGTGGAGTTTGCATGTTCTCCCCGTGTTGGTGTGGGTTTCCTCCGGGTGCTCCGGTTTCCCCCGCAGTCCAAACACATGCGCTATAGGGGAACTGAGTAGGCTAAATTGTCTGTAGTGTATGAGTGTGTGTGTGTGTGTGTGTGTGTTTCCCAGAGATGGGTTGCAGCTGTGGGCATCCTCTGCATAAAAACGTGCTGGATAAGTTGGTGGTTCATTCCGCTGTGGCAACCCCGGATTAATAAAGGGACTAAGCTGACAAGAAAATGAATGAATGAATGAATAATATTAAGTTAACTTTAATTCCTTCATGTTGTCTAGCACAAATCCACTGTGTTGAAGCAGCATTGTGTACTGTATAACACTCTGCATAGAAACCTTCCTAAATGTAGACACTCACCCGAATAAATGTAGAGGTTTTTAAAGGTTTATGATAATATAATGCACCGGTAATGACCCTGGGCTCCACACAATCAATTTGTGTAGAGACAACATGAAGGAATTAAGTTAGCCAGCATTCGTTTTTACAAATTTAAGTGGATTGAACAAAAAGCAATTAAGTTATCCACCCCAAAAAACTCAAGAGTTGTATTGCTTCCGCTCATATAATACACAGCTGATGTCAGAATTATTCGCCCTCCTTTGGATTTTCGTTTCTGCTTTAAATATTTCCCAGATGATGTTGAGCAGATTCAGGAAATGTTCACAGTATGTCTGATAATGTTTGTTCTTCTGGAGAAAGTCTTATTTGTTTTATTTGGGCTAGAATAAAAGCAGTTTTTAATAGTTTTAAACTCATGTTAAGCTCAATATTATTGGCCCCTTCAGCAATATTAGTGTTGGATTGTCTCCAGAATAAACCACTGTTATACAATGACTTGCCTAATTACCCTAACTTTACCCTAATTACCCTAGTGAAGCCTTTACATGTCACTGTAAGCTGAACACTAGTGTCTTGAAGAATATCTAGTCTAATATTATGTGCTGTCATCATGATGAAGAGGAAATAAATCAGTTATTAGAGATGAGTTATGAACACTGTTATGTGCAGAAATGTAATCTGCTCAGTGTTAAACAGAAATTGGGTGAAAATAAATCAAGCGGTCTGATAATTCTGACTTCATCTGTAAGTAGTTTGAACAAGTATGTCTCAGTTTAGTGGATCTTTAACTATAATATGATAATAGCTGCCTACAGCTGTGCAGATTCTGCTGTGCGGTGTGTGTTTCTGTCTGTTGCGGTTCAGATAAAGCAGTTCATGCTGGAATTAAAATATGAAATCTAGAATAGGGGGTTTGTATTAGATTGCAGGTTGCTGTATCCAGTATTGGCTGATATTCAGTAGACTGTGTGCAGTAGCTCTGGATCAGCCGAGTGTAGTGAAGTGTTGTGTCCCGGGCCTCCAGCCTCTCTGTGCTCCAGAACCGCCACTGGTGTCTTCATAACTAACAGTGTTTCCTGAAGCGGACCGCTTTCTGTCCGCTAACACACTCACTCACACACACACACACACTCACTCACGCAGGCTTGTGTTTTGGTGATGGTGGTGTGTGTGTGTGTGTGTGTGTGTGTGTGTGTGTTGTGTTGAGCATGTGCAGCAGACGCTCAGAGTGTTGAAGAGCTGATTGTGCTGCTCGTCGAGTGTGCGAGCAGACGGTCAACACTGAGTGTGCTGGAGATGTTGTACATGCAGGCTTGGATTCTGAAGCCCATGTGGAGTGTTGGAGAGAGATGCACACCTGAGATGATGATGTGATGAAGCCGACTGGCCATTAATGTCTAATAATAAGACCTGGAGCTCATTATACTGCTTATACTACAGTTACAGCTG